GGATGCATAGTGCATCCGAAGAAGTGAGGTTTTTACTCACGAAAGCTTATGCCCAAATAAATCTGTTAGCTTTAAGGTGCCACCAGACTCCTTGTTGTTTTTGTAGATACAGACTAACACGGCTACCCCCTGATACTAGACATGCCAAGCACATGCCAAGGACCTGTTAGATCCAGGCACATGCCAAGGACACGGGAGACTCATGGACACACCAGGGGCACGGGAGAGGCAGAGACACCCAACGAACACGCATTAGGCTCACCAGGGACACAGGTGGCAGAGGACGGCCCCCGTGCCACACGAGGGCCACGGAAAGGACATGCTACCCATATGGGCCCGTCCCCCCTGCCCCGGTGCCACAGATGGCCCAGGCCCAACGAGACGTGTGCCGGGCCCATGTGACATGCGTGGCCCCCCAGCCCCCTCAGCCAAATCCTGGAGGCGGGGAGAGCCGATCAGAGAAAATATAGAACTGAGCTTGTTATGAGCCGATTAATTATAATCCCCCCCAGTCCTGCCCAGGAGCAGAGACAGATATTAATGCTAATAACAAACCCACAGGAAAGAGAACCCAGGAGTCCTGGCTCCCAGCCCCCTCACTCTAACTAACTACTAGACCCCACTCCCCTCCCAGAGCTGGGAAGAGAACCCAGGAGTCCTGACTCCTAGCCCCCTGCCCACACTCTAACCACTATACCCCACTCCCCTCCCAGAGCTGGGGAGAGAACCCAGGGGTCCTGGTTCCCAGAGCTCAAGACACCTCCTGTCTCACCCCCCACCAAGAGACACATGGTCCCCCCCCACAATTCCTCTGACTCCCCCCCTCCCACAGCCAGCAGACACCCAGGGGATTAGGTGCTGGGGAGACATTTAATGAGATCAGTGTCTCAATCGGGGCGATTTCTCCCCTCAGATCAGCCGGGGGCGAGGGGTTAAACTTTTAACCCCCTAACCCACCCCCCAGCTCAGGGGCTAGTGGTTAGAGAAGGGGGGGCTGGGAGCCAGGACTCCTGGGTTCTCTCCCCAGCTCTGGGAGGGGAGGACGGTTTCTAGTTCCCAAACCTTCTACCCTTTGGTTTTGGTTCACAGTGCCCAGGGCTCCAGGGGCTCTGGGCGCTGGCTGGCAGCGGGGTGGGAGCGGGGCTGGGCTCTGAGACGGGGAAAGAAGCTGGGGGGTTCATCTCCCCTCCCAGCACCCCCCACTTCCCCACTAACCACTAGGACCCACTCCCCTCCCAGTGCTGGGACAGAACCCAGGAGTCCTGGCTCCCAGCCCCCCACCCCACAACCACTAGCCCCTGAGCTGGGGGGTGGGTTAGGGGGTTAAAAGTTTAACCTTTCGCCCCCAGCTGATCTGAGGGGAGAAATCGCCCTGATTGAGACACTGATCTCATTAAATGTCTCCCCAGCACCTAATCCCCTGGGTGTCTGCTGGCCGCGGGGTGGGGGGGGCTGGGGGCCGGGGAAAGCGGCTTGAGGGGGATCAGAGGCCATTAAAGGTGTCTCTGGCTCCAGGATTAGCCATGGGGCGTATGTGGGTCAGGCAGGGCTGGAGGGGCCCCCACAGGGCCAGCTGTGGGCCTGGCCAATTAAACAGAGACTAAGTCTCTAAAGGGGGATAAGCTGGGGGGCTGTGGGTCAGGAGTGAGGGGCACCGGCAGGGCGGGGGGAGGGCAGGGCAGGGCTAGCAGGGGGCTGT